TTTCTTTCTTTAGCCCTCACAGTCCCCATTTCTAGGCAGTCAGAGGATCAATTGCCCTCTGATAATGATAAAGACTTTCAACAAATTAGGTACAGAAGAAATATATCTGAATATAATAAAGGTTATATGTGACAAACCCTCACCCATTTCCACTATAATAAACAGAGAAAAGTTAAAAGTGTTTCCAGTATCTTAAAACACTTTCATCAGTATTCCACTCTTTTTGAACATAGCATTGGAAGTAGTCAGAGCAAGTACGCAAGAGAAAGAAACAAAGGATGTCCAAAGTAGAGAGGAGAAAGAGGAAAGCTAAGTAATCCCTGTTTACATAAATATATATATATATATATGATGCCACCAACAAAAATAGTTAAAATTGATATTTTTAAAAAATCAGTAAAATTGTAGGACACAAAATCAACACACACAAAAATAGAATTTTTATACACTGATAATATATTTGAGGAAATAAATTAAAAATACAATCACATTCACAAAGCCCACAAAAATAAAATACCAAGAAATAGAGTTAACCATGGATGTGAAAGATCTCTACCTTGAAAAATATAAAACACTTATGAAAGATACCAAAGAGGACACATACAAAAAATGTGAAGACACCCTATGTTCATAGAAAATTAATATTGTTAAAATGTTAATATTTTCCAAAATAATTTAGAGAGACAGTGTAATCCCCATCAATATACCAAGGATATTCTTTATAAATTGAAATTGAGATAGTACTACACAGATCTAGAATAAACAAAGGATCCTGAGGAAAAAGAACAAAGAAGGAAGCTTCACAATACCCAACTTCAAAATATCCCGCAAAGCTATAAAAACCAAACAGTGTGATACTGGCATAAAAGACACACATAACAATGGAACAGGATAGAGAATCAAGAAATATAGCTATGTCATTTTCAACAAAGGTGCCAAAAACACACATCAAAGAAAGGACAATCTCTTCAGTAAATGGTGTTAGGAAAACACGATATACATATACAGAAGAAAGAAATTAGACCCTGATTATACAAGATTCATATACAAGAACCAATTAAAAATAAATCAAGGACATGCATGTAAAGCCTGAAACTGAAACAACTAGAAAAAAAAACTAAAAAACTAAAAAAAAAAAAAAAAAAAAAAAATAGGGAAAACACTTCAGAACACTGGTAGAGGCAAAGATTTTTTAACGTCTGCAAAAGCACAGGCAATGAGAACAAAATTAGATAAATGGTATTATTAAACTAAGAAGTTTCTGTACAGCAAAGTTAACAGTACAAAAAGAAGAGACAAACTACAGAATTAGAGAAATATTTGCAAGCTATCCATCTGGCAAAGAATTAATATTCAGAATATGTAAGGAATGCAACGCAACAGCCAAAAAAAAAAGAAAAAATGAGGTTAAAAAGTGTGCAAAAGACTTATATAGACATTTCCCAAGAGAAGATATACAAATGACCAACAAGTTTATGAAAAAAATATTATATTGCTAAAATCTAGATTGCTAATTATTAGGAAAATGTAAGTCAAAACCACACTGAGGTGGCTGGAGATTTAGCTCAGCGGTTCGGTGGCTTGCCTCACAAGCGCAAGGACCCGAGTTCAATCCCCAGTACCAAAAAAACAAAACAAAACAAAAAGAACCACACACTGAGATATTATATTACTCCAGTTAGGATGGCTATTGTTAAAACACAAATAATAAACACAAAAACTGGTGATGATATGGAGAAAAGAAAACTCTTACACATTGTTAGTGGGAATGTTAATCAATACAGCCATGGAAACAGTATGGAAGTTCCTCAAACAATGAGAAATAGAACTACCACACAAGCCAACAATCCTATTACTGGGTATATATACAAAAGAAATTAAAACATTGTATCAAAAGAGACACTTGTACAATCATCTTTATGGCAACACTATTCACAATAGTCAAGATAGAAAATCAACTGAGTTTCCATCAGTTGGGTAAATGGATTTTTAAAATTTGATACATATACACAATAGAATATGTCATAAAAAGATGAAATCCTGTCATTTGTGGCAACATGAATGCAACTAGAGGATATTATGTTAAGTGAAATAAGCCAGACACAGAATGACAAATGCCACATGTTCTCATTTATTTGTGGAAGAAAAATTTGATCACCTTAAGTAAAAGTGGTCACCAGAGGTTAGGAAGAGCAGGAGGGAAGAGAGATAAAAAGAGGATGTACAACATACCAAAAGTCAGCCTGATAAGTGAAATAAATTCTAATGTTCTATAGCACAACAGGATAACTAAAGTCTAAAACAATTTATTATAAATTTTTAAATAATTTGAGAAGGTTCTAAACATATGGAAAGATATTTGAGAAGATGGAAATACCAATTATTCTGATTTATTATAAATTTATACATTTATTACATTTTTACACTCTAGCCCACAAATATGTGCAGATTTTATGTCAATTAGAAATAAAATTAGTTAAATTAAAACTTTGCCTGTAAAAAGCAAAAGATTTGAACAGAGTGTGAAAGAAATTACATAAATGATTACTAAGTACATAAAAATATGCTCAACACAATAACCACACAATAAAAATTAAATCTTCATTGAAACATCAATCTCCTCCTCCTAGAGGAAGAATAAAAACATCAAATATTGGTAGGGGTGTGGAGTAAATAGAACCTACTCATATGCTGTTGGTAGGAGCACATACAATCATTTTGGAGAAACATCTGACAGTTTCTTTTAAAACTAAAGTAACATTATCCTACTGCCTAGCAATTTTATTATCTACAAATAAGAAATGGAAATATAAGCTCACAAAATATCTATTCACAGATATACATGACAGCTAAACACTAGAAACAACCAAGGTGGTAATCACTAGTATAACTGAAAAACTTGTTACTATAATGGAATGCCATTCAGCAGTAAAAGAGGAATGAACAAATTCTACATACAACACTGTGGATAGATCTCAAAAACACTGAGTGTAAAGAAGCCTTAAATAAAAAGAACCAATGTGGCATGAAGTCCTAGAATACACATAACCAAACTATGATGAGAAAATAAGTCAGAATAATGGTTGCCTCTTTAAAGGAGTTGGTAGGGAACAGTTATTGATTGTAAAGAACTAAGAGGACTGTAAATGGACTAGATGTTGTGTCCCCTCAAAATTCATGTGTTGAAATCTTAACCCTCAATGTGATGTTATAAGGTGAGGCCTTTAAGAAGTAATTAAGCCATTATGGTGTGGTCCTTATGAATAGGATCTGTGCCCTCATATCAGGAACCTATGTTTAAATTAAAAACAATGTTCCCCTAAAGTCTCATATGTTCAGAGGGTAGGCACTTGGAAGGTAATTGGATCATGGAGGTGCTAGACTAATCAGTGCATTACTCCATTCAGGAGTTTGTGGGTTGTTAGGCGGTGGGTATAGTTGAAGGGGTGGCTCATTAAAAGTGTGCATGGGCATATTCTTATTTCTGAATCCTCCTTTATCTCCCTGTTTCCTAGTCACCATGTGTAGAACAGCTTTCCTCTGTCATGCTTCTATCATGCCATTTCGCCTTGGAGCCAGTCAACCATGGTGTGATTCCTCTGAAATGAACTGAATTCTCTGAGATCATAAGCCAAAATAAACTTCTCCTAGTTTAACTTGTGGTGCTGGGTGTTTTGTCCCACCAACTAGAAAGTGACTTATACAGTGCCCAAACTGCTCTTTCCTCTCTTCCTGCCATATAAGAATACAATGAGAAGAGGTTAATTCTACAGTCCAGAAAAGGGCCCTCATCAGAAGTCTCTGTATTTGTCAACCACACTTTCACACTGATCTCAGATTGCTAGCCTCCAGAACTATGAGAAATAAGTTTCTGTTGTTTAAAACCCACAATTTATATAAGTGGTTATAGCAGATAACTAACAAGGACTATGATGATTTTGGAGGTGATGGTAATACTCTGTATTTCAATAGGGTTTACTGGTGTATGCACTCGTCAAAATTCAGGGAAAATGGACTTAAGTTTTGTCCATTTCTTTGTGTGTACTCTTACCACAAAAGAAAAAAGTCAACAAGATTAATGGGATATAAGCTGACATATTCAGAGGAAAGTATATTAATGACTGCAATTTACTTTGAAATGCTTAAAAATAGGATGGATTAATAAATCTGTAGAGATGAGCAGACATGTATAAAGTATGATAAAATGCTAACAGTAGAATATTGGTAGTAGATACAGAGTTGTCATTGTATTTTTTTTTTTTTTTTTTGGTACCAGGGAATCGAACTCGGGTCCTTGTGTTTGCAAAGCAGGCAGCAGAACCACTGAGCTAAATCCCCAGCCCCATTGTAAATTTTTTAAACAAAATTTTAAAAGTAAGATATTATAAAAACAAAAATCAATAAATGCTTTGTAAAAGCACATTTAGTTTTTCAAAAGTTATTTCAACAAAATTTAGTTTGCATTTCAGGAATGAAGAAACCACTTACAGAACAATTAGTATTCAATACATGCTCAAATTAAAGACCAAGAATGTTTCTCAAATCAGATAAAGAATAATCATCTGTGGCAAAATCTCTGGCCTTTGACCAAGATAGAATTCTAACTTTTCTCTTTTGAGTTGATTTATATCAGCATTCTTTGATTTAAGAGTGTTAACTGCACATTTTCAATGACTATAATGTAGTTTACATCTATCCCGAGGAAGTATCAAGCAGAACTTTCAAACATTATACGGTTTTGAGGTACATATAGCCCTTCTAGGACTTTTGTACCTTGTTAAATAGAATTAAGTTTTTAAATAATCTGATAACTTGTAATGTATAAGCTTGTCACAAGGAAACTAAAATATGAGAACTTTATAATATACAAGGATTTCCTTGCTTTAACTTGCAAACTTTAACTATTACACTCAGAAATATGTTTGTGTTTGTATATATTTGTTTACCCTCTTATATTTACTATGTTTTCAAGGATAAATGCTCTGCAGGTTATACATTACCTCCAGTATAGGGTTTCCAGTTATAATATTTTCCTCGGAAAGGCATATTGTCAAAATCTGCACACTGTTTCTCTCGAAAATCTCGGGAACCCAAAGGGCATGGCTAAAATAAAATAAAATAAAATAAATGGTACCATTGCTGTAAAACACCAAAACTAAGGAACAAATGTCCCTAAGATTAAAACTGCCTGAACATCGTCATATCAGCTCACTGTCATACTCTCTGTCTATACTTCTGGCATTTGTTTTACTGTTTTATAATTGGTATTCACATTAAAATGTCTGAATTGTGATCTTAGAAATATCTATAGCTTTACTTAAAGCTAAGCATTAGACAGTTTCCATATAACTTTACACTTGGACACATGTCACAGTCCACTTTGTAATCAGTCTATCAGGTATCTCCTGATGAACACACACAGAAACTAGACAAAAAGACCAAAACACAAAATCTTTTTTTGTTAACAATATTTGGGGGGGGTGGAGGGAGGGAAGGGATAAGGGGAAAAAATGAGAATCAAGATCTGTCATGTAAAGGTACAAGATCCCAGTGATGAATGTAACTGTACTATATACTTTAAAAGTACCAAAAAATTCAATGAGAAAAAAACAAAACAAAACAAAAACAACAAGAAACATTATTTGAGATTGAGGATCCATAGGTACACCCAGATCTTTATTTTAAGGAATCCAGTGGCACGTTTTTAACATAAGATTTGGCACTATATATTGTGTTTCAGACCCCTGTTACTATAGCTTTTTATTAACAAAAGCCATATTTTGAATGTGGAATTAACTGGATGAAACGTTAGGCTGCAAATTCAAGGAATATGGACTTTTGAAATTTACATTTTATGAAACAACATACTAAAATGGTACAAAATATTTACATATGTTGCTAGTGTGTCTAATCTTTTGGCTTGCCTGGCTCACATTGGGTAAAGCAGAATTTCTGGAGCCACATAGGAAATACGCAAAGTAGTTCATGTGTGTAATGATTTTTAAATAATTTTTATCATAACAGTAAAAAAAAGAGGGAGTTGGACAGACCTGAATAGAAGATAGGAAGCGTGTTGAGAGGGTGAAGAAATAATTATTGGCTTATAAAAATTTGGAATGCTTCTTCTAATTGACATTTTTAAAAAGAAAAATCTTGTCAATCTAGTTAGGTATAAATTACAAATACCAAAGAGTCACCTCTAAGTATTCAAAGAAATAAACATATAACATCTCAGTATTTGAGCAATATGACTTAATTTGACTTATGCTTTAGAGTTCTGCCACGGTAGCATTTAATAAACAAGGTTACTGATTTTAAAACACTGAGAGAAAACATCCCCTTTATATGTGGAGCAAGGTGTGTTCTTAGATAAAATTCTTAAATATGAACAACAAGTTTGTTATAAGCATCCACATACGTCATCCTGAGGACTGTTTCACTACGTTCCCTTGGATCCTTACATTTGCTCTGTGGTTTTCTGAAATCAGTACAATTGTTAACGGTTACTGTCAAACATGTAATAACAACAGACTACAATGTGCAAATATTTTCATGTCCATCATTTACTTTCCATATACCACAGTTCAAATGTTTACTTTGTTAAGTCCACAGCTGCCAATTTTGAAAATAGTAGCAGCTGGCCTATACTCTGTTGAGGGCCCTGAATTTTAAAGTATTTTCAGCATATTAAAATATGATATTCCCAATGCCAAACAACGATTCTTCTCAAATTGCCCTTTTTATTTCATTTAATAAAAGTAAAATTAACTATTTACCATAAACTATATGGTATATCATGATGGAAGAGTATACTTTTAAGGTCTTTTGATACATGGTCTGTTAATCTTTGAAATGTTGTAGATTAAAGAAATGCTTTTCTTTTCTAGCTGTTTGTAGGAAATTCTACATAAGAACTAAAGCTGTCAGTGGCTTTGCCATACACAATGATTACTTTTAAAGCAAACATCAATTTTTAAAAATACAAGTAATTTAAACTGTAGGTACAAGTCTTTCCCTAATCCTTAAGTATTCACCCACCTAAAAGTTTATCCCAGTACACCTTTCAATCTAGTTGGAGAAACAAATGCAAGTATAAAAATGACAGAACTATTTCAGGTAATATATATAGAATATAACATCTTACAGGTTATCTATAGGTGCTGCATATAGGTAAAAATCAATGTGTAATGTTACTAACAGGAAATACTGATTGAGAAAGAAAATCTTGAGGATGTTCCAGTGTTCTAGTAATTGAGCTAGTTAAGAAAAGCAAAGGATTTGGGGAGAGTGGAGGATGAAGTAAAGCTAATGAGGACAGAAAGAAAAGAGCATATACTAAAGAATGATTGGAAAAAGATCATCTTATTCAGAAGAGAGGAACTAAATAGAAGATAAAAAGAAATTATATTTTACAAATAAACATATAAGAAAACTCTGAATTAACAAATTAAGGCAATATGAGGGCCATTCACTAAAAGTAAGCAAGAATGCTACCTTTCATTATCTCTTAGTGATTCTCCTAAGTAGAAGTAGAAACTTCAGTAAGAGGATATTATTGCTTAAGGAAGAATTTTTTGGGGGGTGGTACCAGGGATTGAACTCCGGACCTTGTGCTTGAGAAGCAGGTGGTGGGTCCCTGGTTAATGAATAAATTTTTGATCTACTCATTTCCAGTGATAATTGCTCCAAGGGTCAGTACGATAAAAATATTAACAATAGCAACAGCTATCTAGTATTTTCTACATACCTACTCTGTGGCACATTGTTCAAAGGTCTACAGGTGTATTATCAATTTAATTCCTCTAAACACTCTAATGAGATAGTTATAATTAATAACCTCGATTTATAATAAACTAGAATATAGAAAGGTGGCTTAATGAAAATTTCAAAGTGCAAGAAAACCTCCTTCACCTGAACAAGAACATTTTCTGAACACTCTCTTAATACTATAATGAGAGCATAAGGTTTACTATGTAAATAGTCATGTTTGTGTTCTAATAAAAATATTTTCAAAAATAGGTTACAAGTCAAATTTGTCCTGAGTGGTACCAATCCCTGATTTAGAGTGTTAACATACTATTATGGAGTGGTTATCACAAGCAAAGAGTAAGTCAAAATTTTATAAAATATTTTCTAAGTGATTCATACATTTGTCTCGTGTTTTATAGAAGAGCTGAACTCAGTTGTTAACTTTTGAGCCAACATAGAATTCTATTATTCAAGAATTGATATTAGTCTTTGTAAATAGAGAAGGGTGGAGGGGCTGAAGGGAGAGCAGGAGAATGGGGAAAATTAAGAATCAAGATATATTATGTAATGGTACAAATTTCCAATGATGACTGTCATTATATTGTATATGTAAAATGTAACAATAAAATTAATTTTTTAAAAAAGAAGTGATGTTACATAATCTAATTTGCACAAGATACCTTATAAACTTCCTCTATAATTATCCTCAAAGTAATCATATAATTTGTGTAAACATCTACAGAAAAATATATCAAACACTTTTCAGAGTACTGCAATTATTAGCAGGTCTTCCCTTATTTTCAGCCAAAACATGTCTTCTTGTCACCCAGTCATTTTCCTTCTTTTTTCTGGATCCACACTGAACAAATCTAATTCCTAAACTAAAGGAATAATTTCGTTTTCTCTTAAAATAAGGCAACAAAAAATGACATTAAGCATCTTTTTTTCATTCAGCAAGTATTTACAAATTGATTAATATATATCAGATATAACCTAGGCGCTGGGATTATTATAGTGAAAAATGTAACGGAGAGGGTTCTCATAGAGCTTAGTCTACGTTGAGATGAGGAAGAACAAACATGGTGAAGAGAATGGGAGGGAAGTTGTTTAAAATAGTATGGTCAAGCCGGGCGTGGTGGCGCACACCTGTAGTCCCGGCACTCGGAAGGCTAAGGCGGGAGGATCACTATGAGTTCAAAATCAGCTTGGGCTACACAGTGAGTGCCAGATCAGTCTCAACTACATAGTGAGATCCTGTCTCCAAAAACAAACAAACAAACAAATAGTATGGTCAGAGAAACTCTCTCTAAAATGACATTCAAACATATCACAGTTTTTTAAAAATTAAGGGAATGATTTACGTAGACATCTGTGAAATGTATTTTCGCAAATAGTAAATGCAAAGACCCACAAGGCATGAGTGTGTTTGTTGTGTTTTTAGAATAGTATACAGAATGAAGTGGCTTAAGAGAATTATGGTAGACTTGAGGACTTTTTCCCATGTCTTTTTGCTTCTAGAATACATCAATTGGTATTCTGTCCCTCCTGATTCAATATTTTCATGAGTGAATGGCTTGATTAAATCCTGTTTATCAAAAATTAGTGCAGGAGGAGTAATATATGCTAGTTTAAAAGAATGAAAGTGACCAAAAGCAAGGTAATTTTTGAAGGCAAAGTACATACATCTAATGTTTTGTTTAGGGATAATAGAGAGTTTAAAAAACAATGCTTTTTTATTTAAAAAAATATTTTTAATGTTCAGAGAAGCACAAAACATAACACTGTGTTAAAGCTGAGCCACAGAGGAATAGAGGAATGGGTGGTACTGTTCTTAGAAACAAACAAACAAAAAATCAAAGGGCATAAAAAGCAATGTTTTTTAAATTACTTAAGGATAATTAATGCTGACAACATCCAGAAACTATAATAAAAAACTGTAGACGAAAGCAACAGAATTTTTATGTAAAGCATGACAGGTTTTCAGTCTAATGCTACCATGAATCAAGCACTTCCTAAAAGTACACTGGCAGGGACCCATATAAAATCCAGAGAGAAAAGTATCTTTTGGTCTCCTGAGCATTTTCAAAGAAATCTAAAACATTAATATTGACATCTTTATCATTAATCTTTCTAATCATTAATCTGTGTAAATTAACATAATCCATAAACTATCTTATAGTTCCAGATATTATGGCAGCTGAGAAGCATCTCCCTTTGACTACATTTAATATTTTGGATTGGTAGATAATTTTTTAAAAAATAGAACAATGAGGCATACAAGTTGCTATAGAAAGAAATCTCAGTTTCTGCTGACAAGTATTCCAGTGGTATTTCTACTACTGGGATTATAATCC